TGTAAAACAAATGGATAACGGAATATTTCTTAGCCAAACAAAGTACATTAAGGATCTTTTGAAAAAGTACAAAATGGATAGTGCTAAACCCATGAACACTCCAATGAGCTCAACAATTCAATTAGACAAAGATCCTAGTAGAAAATCAGTAGATCAGAAAAAGTATAGAGGAATGATTGGATCCCTTCTTTACCTAACTGTCAGTAGACCGGACATAATGTTTAGTGTGTGCCTCTGTACCCGTTTTCAAGCCGATCCTAAAGAGTTTCATTTAACTGCTGTTAAGAGAATTCTTAGATATCTATTAGGCACCCCAAACTTATGAATTTAGTATCCTAGGCACAACACTTCCTTTGAAATCTTAGGATACTCAAATTCTAATTTTGCAGGATATAGGATAGATAGAAAAATTACCTCTGGTACCTGCCAATTCATAGGACAATCATTAGTGTCTTGCTCCAATAGGAAGCAAAACTCAGTAGCCCTTTCCACAGCCGAGGCAGAATATATTGCAGTAGGTAGTTGCGTTGCACAAGTACTATGGTTAAAACAACAAATTTTTTATCTTGGCCTACCTGTATGAACCATCTCAATCATGTGTGACAACACAAGTGCAATTTGCATCTCTAAGAACCCAATTCAGCACTCTCGAACGAAACACATTGATATTAGACACCATTTTATAAGAGATCGCGTTGCTAAGGGAGATATAGAATTACATCACATCGCTACAGGGGATCAATTGGCTGACATATTCACAAAACCTCTAGCATTTGACACCTTCAACACCTTGAGAACTAGACTAGGTGTCATTGACATTAATGCATTTAAAAAAACACACAAAATAAAAATAAAAAATAGCAAAAAAGGCACAAAAAAAAATTGCTCCTGATCATCACACACTCACTACACAAAACCACCAAATTTGACATTGAATCATCGTACTGTACGATCCACTATCGTACTGTACGATACATCTAAATATGTATAGAAAACAACCATAGGAAAATTTTGCCTCTATTGATCGTACTATACGATCTACACCGTATTGATACAGCTGGCAGTCATTCAAGTCCATCTAGTACGACATTATTGAGCATCGTACGGTATGATACCTCCACTTCGTACTGTACGAGCCATGTCAGCGAACGGATTGGGATGACATAACTCGGTTTGGTACGACATTATTGGTGTTCGTACTGTACGATACCTACACTTCGTACTGTACGATCCATCTCAGCAAATAGATAATAATGACATAAAGGACTCTGGTACGATATAAATATCGTTCATACTGTACGATACACCTATTCGTACAGTACGAATCTTTTGGTCAAAAAGTCATACTAACGACCCTCAGGACGATCGATATTCTTCATATTGTACTGTTTGATATTTATCGTACTGTACGCTTTGACCACCTTTTCCCGAAATGACTCGTTAGAATAATTATTACCATATCGTACTGTACGATGTTGGAAAAACTCTATAAATTGGCTGGATAGGCATTTCTTCTCACTCACACCTTCACTCCTTCACTTATTCTTCTTGCCCTCTTGACAATGTCTGGTTCTAGCAAGCGAGGTCGGTTGGTTGTTGGAAGCTCGTCCTCTTCGAGTCGTCCACGTGCTCGTTTTCTAAACACTGAAAATGAAGAAGATTACCACAGGTATAAGGCCTGCAAAATTACACCTTCCAAAATGCTTAATCAGGCTGCCCTGAACTTCGAGGTATTAAGCCTCTTCGCTTCTACCACCTTCCAATTCCTCCTCACCCTGGCCTTTTCCTACAACTCTGAATTTCTTTTAGAATTTCTTGCAAATCTCACCTACACTGTCGACAATACCACTTTTCACTCCTTTGTTTGTGGTCAAAACATCGATATCACTAGAGCCGACATCGCCCAATATATTAGACTATCCACTGAAGGTCCTAGGGTTCGCTCCTTTCTTACAAACAAATTCGATTGGAGTGATGTTAATAGAGTTCTTAGGAATGCTGCATTCCATCAACACCAACCTCTCGTTCAAACACTAACTCAAAATGCGCGAATAATTCAACATTCCTTCGAACCTCCATAATACCCACAGGTGGCGACCGTATCAACATGACCCCGACTTTATCTATCGCTACCTATCTTATCATGACCAACACAAAATTCGATGAGTCCAATTTAATTATTGACTACATTCACCATATGACTTTCGTTTGTCTCCCTACTACTCGACGGAAATAAAATCTAGCTCTTGGTCACCTTATAAGATATATCCTCCAAAATAAATATCAATTGACCTATCCTGGTGAACCCGACAATCTTCATATCTTTTATACGGATGCCTATTTCCGTATTCTATTCCATCGGGGACACGAGCCTGAAGAACCTATCTTTGATGAAGAAGAAGGAGAAGATGCCCCGGCTGCAGCTCAAGCACGTCCACGACGACATGCAGCACCCCCCGAGCACCTACACCAGGACACCCTCACGATGATTTGGTCGAACGCTTCGACCAACATCAGACTCGTCTAGATACTCACATTCAAGAGCAACATCAGCAACACGAGACTGACATGCAATGGTTTGGGGAACGCTTTACCAATATTGATCACCGATTTGACGCTCTCCTTCAGTATTTCCAACCAAACCCATCTCCACCACCAACTGATCAGGATCCTCCGTTTTAAATTATCTTTGTATTGTAGTTTTTTTTTCTTAGTGTTTGATCCTCTTTTTAGTGCTGTCAAAAGGGGGAGGAGGTTGTTTTAGTTTGTTCTATAGTTAAATGCATTTCTTTTTATCTCATACTGCATTTTTCTTTTTATTGCATTTCCTTAAAAAAAATGACTTTCAAACTTGCTTTCAATAACATTATTTGACATCATCAAAAAGGAGAGATTGTTGCGACTTATGACCCCAAGTTTGAGATTTTGATGATGACAAATAATGTCGTCTGATTTACTATTCATTGAATATCATTTATTATTGGTTATTTTTCGTGGGTACTAACATTTCAGGAAGATCACAAGCTACTTAGGACGACAGGAAGACTCAATAATGGTTAAATTATGAGTATGAGTCTGACAATGTAATTTGTTATTTATTTTATTTTTTATTTTCTTGAGTCTGGCCACAAACTGCATGTAAGTCTGAGCAACCATGCACACACATAGGGGGAGAGGGTTTTAAAAGTAAAAAATGAAGATTTTTCTTCTCTGGTGATCGTACTGTACGAATTTATTTCGTACTGTACGAATTTATTTCGTACTGTACGAATTTATTTCGTACTGTACGAATTTATTTCGTACTGTACGAATTTATTTCGTACTGTACGAATTTATTTCGTACTGTACGAATTTATTTCGTACTGTACGAATTTATTTCGTACTGTACGAATTTATTTCGTACTGTACGAATTTATTTCGTACTGTACGAATTTATTTCGTACTGTACGAATTTATTTCGTACTGTACGAATTTATTTCGTACTGTACGAATTTATTTCGTACTGTACGACCTGAGTTGGTAAAACGATTTTCTGTGAATAGTTCGTACCGTACGATTTATATCGTACTGTACGATGTGTTCCAAATTCAAAACCTTAGCCGTCAAATTAACTTAAGTATGTTTTCTCAACCGTTCGTACTATACGATTTATTTTAAATACTTACTTAAATTAACCCGTGATTAGTGGAATAATTCAAGGCTTAATTTCAAATTAAATATCGTATTGTACGACCTTATTCGTACAATACGATGAACAGGGACGAATTCTGATCGTCCCGGAAATCGTTCTGGATAATCCTTTGTTTTTCGCATCATTGTACTGTACGATGCATATCGTACTAGATAATGAACAGAGACGACATTTGATCGTCCCGGAATTCGTCCAGGATGATGCCTTGACTTTGACCATTCGTACTGGACGATGTATATCGTACAATACGATGAACAAAGATGACATTTGATCGTCCCAACTGCCGTCCTGTACGATCAGTAATGTTGAGGATCGTACCGTACGATGTATTATCGTACTGTACGAGTTATTTTGAACTGTGCGTACACGTTCGTACCAGGACGAAGCCTTTTTATACATATTGTACTGTACGATGACTAATCGTACTGTACGATTGTAACGTCTACTTTGCAAATTTAGGGATTTTGGAGCTCGTTTTAATGTGACAAAATTGTCATATTTTGAGAGTGAGGCAGAAGAGGAAAACGTGATTAGAGATGAAATCCTTAGGAGAGCTCTTGAGACGTTTTGTGAGGTTGAGAGAGGAAGGAGAAGGTGAGCTTGGTGAGGGAGAAGAGGTGTGAGGAAGATTACACGGTTGCTCCGATCTTGCTGCATCTTGCTCCTTCTGTGGCCCGAGAAGAACTTGTGGGAGGCTCTCTAAGTGGGAGACTCTTCTACATCCGTGACCTCGAAGGTACTCCGCCTTCTCAAGGAGGGAGAAAACGAGAAGATTCTCTGCCATCACTAGGAGGGTGAAAACAGCGCTTGACACTCCGCCATATCGGGTTAGTGAAAGGGAGTATTGTAAAGGCTTCTCCGTCTTGCCAAAGGGGGCAAAAGGAGAGCAATAGTTTGTAGTGAAATTCCCGGAGCGGACGACTCTGGGGGGTGGACGTAGGTCATGATTTGACCGAACCACTATAAAAATTTTGATCTGCTTTTTCCTTATCGTTTTTTATTCTTGCGTGCATTTTTATTTTCATAATAATTGCTTGGTGAATACTTGTGAAAGAAAAAAATTATACTGTTGCACGTTGAGTTCAATTGTTTTCCTTAGAAGTTGTTTAAATTTTCATGTTAAAAATTAAAATCATCAAAAAAAATTAAAACTCATGCTTAGCTTTTAATTATTGCTATAAAATTTTCACAATTTACCCCCCTCTTGTCCATCTAGTTATTTCAAGATCTTTTTACAGCATCCCTCCAAAAAAATTAACCAAAATATAAAATACAATGGTCATATATATATATATATATATATATATATATATATATATATATATATATATATATATATATCTCCAAAGTTTAAAGCATCGACTTGATGTAAATGCTTACTTTTTTCCAATGGAACTCCTACCTCTAAACCCAACAATGCTCAGCTTCGAGCCAGCAGATTTCACACTAATTTTCTTGTTCACTGAAACCTTTGAAACATCTGCTGAACTTGCTGGTTTTGAGAGTGAAAAAGACTTTTTAGCTTTAATGGATGCCGGCTTTCTATCTGGATTTGATGGTGAAGTCAATCTTTTAACCTTAATGGATGCTGGTTTGCCACCAGATTTTCTTGCTGCTGATTTTTGCGATACTGTTACAGCTGCTGCTCTCCCAAATACAGGAGATTTAGGTGCTGATTTCTGGGATACCGTCGGAGCTGCTTTTCTCCAAATTACAGCAGATTTTGGATGACTGGTTTTAATTGTCTGAGTTGTGTTTCTCCCCTTCTTATCAACCAGCCTTAACTTGACAGCATCTCTTCGGATACTACCTTCGTTGAGGGATTCTAGGCTCTCATTTTTCCTCATGGCTTCTTCAATGCGATCGGCCAGGAGCAGATTCTTTTTTGCAACGAGGCTTGTAACTTTACCTGAAATAATAGGTTTTTATCAATTGCTAAAAATCTGGCTGAAATGGATATGAAAATAACATAAAACCATCTTTAGATGACTAATGTATACCATGTTGCCAAAGAGGACATTAACTGGAAGGTTAAGAAAGATATACATGCTTAAAAAGTAAGAGTGTTGGATCCCGTTTGTCCGGTGAATGATGCTTGGCAGTACTAGGCAGCACGAGCAGACGAGGGGGGTATGAGAAGAGAATGCGGCTAAATACTGATTGTCAGAAAAGAGAGATAGAGCGGAAAAGGGAGAGAGATAGGTCATGAGAATGTAGACGAAATATTTATTATCTCGGCTAGAGATACAAGCTGGTAGAAAGCTTAGAGTTTTTGGTTACAAAGAAAGAAATAACATCTCTTGTGAGGATTTCTCCTTGAATGCAATTGAATTAAATCTCTTTGATATCAACACCTCTGTTAGGCATACCTGTCAGAAATTTTTTATACATGTTACATCTAAAGTAAAAAACATATCCATAATTCCTTATTCAAAATCTTACCTGTCAACAAAATGGCCTCGTTAGAAGTGAATTTAAGTAAATGATCATTCACAATGAAGCCTTCATCAGCAGAATTCCAAAATTTCAAAATCTCAAAAAAAAGTGGTATACATTGTTGGAGTAGAGGATGGAGAAAAATTGTGATCAGCAGAATTTCAAAATTTCAAAATCTCAAAATCTCCAAAATTTCAAAATCTCAAAATCTCCAAAATTTCAAAATCTCTATGATGGAGAAAAAAAATTATGATCAGCAGAATTCTAATAAATGAATCACATCAGCCACTTTGTAATTTTTTTATAAAGGAAAAATGTATAGTTATTCCATTTGAAACCTGCATTTCTTTCTTTTTTTTTTTTTGTTTTTTCATACATGAGTGATGACGTGAATATGATATTTTGGCTCAGCAAGTGAACAAGTACATTGTTGGTATGAAATAACTTTGAGGCTGATCGTGCCCTCTGCCAGGTTTCCATCCTTTGAAGAATGACCAATGGGTCCCGCCTACCAAGGGGACTTGCTTTGCCTTTGTTAGAAAAGTAGGGAATCACCTCTCGGGACTATCTGATGGCATTATCTTGCCCATTGTCAAGTTAACCACGCATTACCATTTGTGGAGCATATTGCAAAGGTGGAGGCATACCTTTTGTGGTGTAATGCTTGTAGTCACCTATGGTGTCGGGGCACTATAGTGTTGGGGCCTATGTCGTTACTCATTGCAATCTTGTCGCAAAGGGGGGAGTTGGCCAATAGTGGTTGAGCCATTTTACTTCGGACAATGGTTGGGTGCCTATAGTCACCTATAGTGTCGGGGCACTTAAGACTTGTCATATGCTAGAGACAGGCACGCTACTAATTAAAAAGCTTGTCTGAAAGGGGGAAGTCAAGGAAGTTTGGGGGAGTCGGCCAACAGTGGCCTAGGCATTTTGTTGTTGATTCGATCTAGATGATATGACTGTGATCGTTGGCAGAATGATGCGAATCGAGTCTAGATAATAGCCATAACTATTTTCAGAATTTATGTCGAGTTATCTCAGGTGGTAGGTGGCACATTTAAGTGGATGCATCTTTTCAAACTTTCTATAGATTTGATGTGTATTTATGCGTAGTTATGGATATATACATGGCTCTTCGTGTCCTCCAGCCTATAAATATGATGGAGAAGGCATGTTGGATGCATAAACGAGCATTCTGATGGCCTCTGTGGAGGTGATAGTGTCTTTTAGGTCTTTCTTTAAAAAGGCGAGAATTCTTTTTGATAATCGGAGTAGTTAAGAACATCTGTGAATTTGGTGTTTCTTTCTTCTTGAGAAATTGGGAGCAAAGAAAACGTGTCTATACGGATGATAGCCTTCAAGTATAAATGAATTTTTCATAAGGAGAGGACTCGGAACCCTATATCTTCCGAGAGGAGAAAGGGAAAAGATTGGAATTAGTGTGCAGGAAACGAGGTGTCACACTAGTTCCATCTTTTTGTTTTCCCTCATGATTTGCTTCGGCGATTAGAATCAGTAATTTTGATATATGCTTCTGACCGATTATGCTGCTAAGGAGATGGAGGAGGTCGAGTCTTCCCCTTAGACGAGCATGGCAACAATGATCTTGACATGCTCTCCCGACAAAGTTTGGGTGCTCTCGATTATAGGAGTGTCCAAATTCTTACTTTCCGGTGGAACGATATGGTTTGAAGGAGTTCCCATGGAATATAGTGAAATGATGGTGGATATATCTCGCCTATTTCACTATACTTCTTGGGATTGTTTCTCATTCACCATTTACGCACAAAAAAACTGATCATAATGATTATACGGCTTATGTGTAAATACTTGTAATACGAGATATGTAACATAAATTGCTTGTAAAATCATGGAGGCGTGAAATAAAAATTATTTTTTGATACATCTACTTCTTTGTATATGATACTGCATGTTTGAGTAATAAATAAATGTAATAAACAATTTTGTGAACTAGAACGAGTTCAATGGAACTTGAAATGTGGTATATTGTATGAAATGATTGTGAAAGGGACTCCATGTCGGAAGATAATGTTGGTTCAAATGAAATTTCGAACCACTATGGATGTTACATAGGAAAGTGCTTTGGTTTCGATCCATTTGGTGAAATAGTCTATCATGACCAAGATGAATTTTCTTTGCCCTGCTGATGGTCAAAAGGGACCTAATGAATCTATTCCCCACATAGCGAATGGTCATGGACTTGTGATTGAATGTAGCTTGTGGGAAGGCTTTAGTTAAATTGGGGTGAATTTCTAGCATTGTACACACTTCTTGGAGAATTCTTCTACATCCTTCCTCATGGTAGGCAAGATGTAACTTAGTCTGAGGATCGATGGGCGTGATTGCATCCACCTGAATATCTTCCGCACTAGCCCAAATGGACTTCGGCTAGTAAGGATCCTTTTCGGTCATCTCGCAAGCATTTGAGGTTGAGCCAAGATGCGGACTTTCTAAACAGTTGATCTCTGATTAGGTAGTTGGTTGCCTGGATACTGAATTGTCAGTGGTCACTAACTTCAACTGATTAAAACATTCTTTAGATATTCAATGTAAGGATCCATCAAGCTCGCAGAACGCAGATTTGGAGGATCTGGTTCTGCTTTTGATACTTCTTTCCTTATGATGGAGGGTGTGAAGGCTCGTAGAGCTGGTTGATCGTTGATGTTCCATTGGGGATCTGAGTAATTTTAAAATATTCAAACTTCCTAAACGCAGCCTTGGCCTTGAATAGATATATGGATAGTAGTTCATCTCTAACTTTGTACTTTTCATTGATTTAATTCACCATGAGCTGCAAATATGAATGAATTGTCAGGCCAGTAGCACCCAATTCAGAGACAAATCATAATCTTGTGAGTAAAGCTTCGTACTCATCTTGATTTTTAGTGACTTTAAATTCAAACTTGACGGACTAGGTGACGACAGTTCTGGCAGGATCTTTCAAGATAATGTCATCTCTAACCCCTTGTTCGCCAGATGCAACGTCTAAGTACAACATCCAATAAGGTTGAGCGAAAGTTAGAGCTTTCAGCCTGGTAGGTGCATTCTACAAGGAAGTTGGCGAGTACCTGAGCATTGATTGTTATCATTGGCATATAAGTGATGGAGAATTCACTAAGCACGACAGACCGTTTGAGTAATTGCCTCGAATGATCGAGTTTGGCCAAAACTACTTTGAGAGGGTGATTTGTCACCACTTGAGCAGAGTGAGCTTGAAAGTAAGGTCGCAACCTTTTAGCTAAGTTGACTAATGTTGGAGCAAGCTATTGAAAGGTTGTTTCACAGTCATCTCTCCAAGAGAATTTCTGAGTCTCTTGAGTTCTTTAAAGAAAGGAGTACACATTTCCCTAAGCTAGGAGATAAAACAATTGAGTCTAGCAATCCGGCCAGTGAGTCGTTGAACTTCCTTGGCAATTCGATGTGTCTTCATGTAGAGTATGGCTTGCACCTTTGTGGGATTGACATTGAACCTGTCAGGCGTCAGGAAGAACCCTAGGAATTTTCCCGTGCCTGCTTCGAAGATGCACTTTAAAGGGTTAAGCCTCATGTTGTATCGCTTGAGGGCTAGGAATGCCTCTTGTAGGTTTTAAATATGTTGATTAGTAGATTATCTTTTGACTAAGAGATCATCTACGTATACTTCAATGTTCCAGCCTTTTCGCTCTTTGAAGACTTTGTTCATAATCCTTTGATAAACTCCAACATTCTTTAGCCGAAAGGGCATAACTTTGTAGTATAGGCCTTCTGTAGTGATGAATGTTATTTTCTCACAATCTTCAAAATGCATATTGATCTGATGATAGCCTGAGTAGGCATCCAGAAAACTCATGACGGGATGGCCTACCTCTAAAACAACTAGAGCTTCAAAACAAGGAAACAAGTAGCCGTCCTTAGGGTATATTAAGTTTAGATTGGTAAAGTCCATGCACATTTTCTTCCTGTCCATTGATTTCTAGACCATCATCATGTAAGAAATCCAATCTAGATACTGGACTTCTCAAATGAAATTGGCGGTGAGCAATTTTTCTACTTCTTCGTTAATGGGCTTGGCAAGTAGAGCTACAATCTTTCTGATTTTCTGCTTGATGGGGCAATCGTTTTTATACATATTGAGACGGTGGCTTATGACCTCTTGTTGATGCCCGACATGTCTGTAGTCGTCCATGCAAATACTTCAAAATGGTGGCAAACAATTTGCACTAACCTACTCCAATGCTCCATGCTGAAGGAGGCGCTAATTCAAAAGAATTTGTTTGGTTCATCCTTTGTTGTGGATACATCATCGATAACTTCAGGGGTCTTGAGGCCTGGTCCTGATTCAACTTCAAGATGAAGGACTTCTTCTGGGGTGTCGACGAGACTGACTACTCGCAGATAGCAGGTACGAGACTGAGCAAGGCACCTCTGATTCTAATCTCCTTTCCTTCAACAAGAAATTTGACAATGGCATAG